ATAAATATATAATAAATATATAATAAATATATAATAAAAATAAATATTTAGTTCAAACCAAAACAAAGAAAAAAGAGATATATTCCTTTTTTTTATGTTTTTGACCGAATTAGTCAAAGAGCGCAATGTATCAATGAAAATTTCCTCATATATATATATATGTTATATATATATATATGTTATATATATATATATGAGCCGATAGCCTGCGTTGCTAGTGCTCAATGTCTTTTCTTTAGTCTAAGAATTGATTTCATTCGTCTAAAATTATAATAATAATAATAATAATATATATATATACATAATACTGTGTTCAAAAAGTAAGACCAATACTCAAAAAATATTTTTTTCCCATATTGGTAGCACTGTGACAGACATCTGTGCCAAATTTTACATCATAAACGTCATTAGTGTTTCAGTTGCTCTTGATATTGCACGACACAAAAAGTGGTTTTCCACGGTCTTACAATGGGTGATTTCGTTGAGCAAAGAAGTTGCATTAAATTTTGTTTGCGAAATGAAATTTCTTGTGCAAACACGTTTAGGATGTTGCAGAGAGCCTTTGGTGGCCAGACTTTGTCGGAAAGAAATGTTTATAAATGGTACAAACAGTTCAAAGAAGGCCGAGAACGGGTTGAAGACGAAGAACGATCCGGCCGACCATCAACCTCTACCGATGAAGGTCACATTCAACAAATCAAAGATTCGGTGCTCAAAAACCGTCGATTAACGAACAGGGATCTTGCTGACGCTATTGGCATTTCGTATGGGTCAGTCAACAGCATTTTAAAAGATATTTTGGGCCTGAAAAGCGTCGAATCCCGCTTGGTACCAAAAACACTCAATTTCTTTGAAAAAGAGCGTCGCGTTAAGATCTGTGAGGAGATGATTTCCTGCTATCAATCGGTCATAAAACGCATTATTACAGGAGATGAGACTTGGATCTACACGTACGTACCGGAATCAGCCGATATATCGAGCGAATATCGTGTAAAAAATGAGCCAAGATCGAAAAAACGCCGATGTCGCTCAAAAATCAAGGTGATGTTAACAGTTTTCTTCGATTATCTTGGGGTTGTGCACTATGAATTCCTTCCACCGAGCCAAGTTATTAATAAGGAATATTATTTGAGCGTTATGCGCCGTTTGCGTGAAGCTATTCGCAAAATGAGGCCAGAATTGTGGAAAGACAACTCTTGGTTTTTGCATCATGATAATGCGTCATTTCATACTTCGTTGATTCTCCAAGATCATTTCGCTGAAAATTCAACCCATATCGTCCCACAACCGCCGTGTTCACCTGATTTAGCCCCATGCGACTTCTGGCTATTCCCTAAGCTGAAAAGACCGCTTCGGGGACAACTTTTCGACTCGATGGAAGAGATACAAGCTGAATCGCAGAGAGCTTTAAAAGCTATTCCGGAAATCGAGTATAATAATTGTTTCGAGGATTGGAAAAAACGTTGGCATAAATGTATAGTATCTGAGGGTGATTATTTTGAAGGCGACGAAATAGATTAGGAGTCATAGGTTAATAAAAAAGATAATATTGAATTGATCTTACTTTTTGAACACTGTAGAATATATGTTTATATTCATTACAAAGCGATATGTCTATATTCTTTTTTTAACGGAATACTATCATAAACAGGCGAATGCTCGACGTTGCCGGGACTGCTATTCATGTTAACCACCTTCCTTGATAGTTAAATACAAACCTTTTTTAATTCAATTTACAAGTCACAGCACTTTTCTTATTTCATCATTTTATTGCAATCCGTATTATGTGGATATCATCCTTGTTAAGGAAAACGGTGTGAAATTGTTCACTTTAACAATCTAACAATCAAGAAAAATTTGTACTTTCAACATTGCTGGTAATAAATGCATTAAATTTCCATGAACAAGCAAACAAGTCGTAGATAAATTAAACTTTACAACAAACTACGTTTTTTCCAGTTGCTTTCCATCCAACACTCTTCCAAAAAGGGCGAAACATTTTCACGCATGTATATGTATATGCGCGCAATGCCAATTCCAATTCATTTGACGTTTAATCTCCTAGTATTTAGCAAATACTTTGTGCATTGTTTGAATTTTTTTCTCTCAATAGTATTCTTGCTTTTTATTTATTTATACGAGTAGTAAGAGATGGAATGAATTCCAACATAAGTTAATTTAAAAAGGATAATTATTACAAATAATAATCAATTAAATAATAAAAGAAAAATGAATAATTTATTAAATGCTTTAGCGCTGCTGTGCTTATTTTCAAAATGATGATGATGATGATGATCTACTTTGCTTTGTTGTTTATTCTGGCTTCAATCCTTTTCATATTTTTCAGCGTTCAGTTCGTGGACTGACTGATGGTTTACACAACAGGAGCATTCGTTTCCTGCGGAATTCTTTACGATGGAAGCAATTAAACTTTTCTTTAACCATTAAAATTAGCTTATGCTGGAACATCTTTACATTGTTAGATTTCTTGATTTTACTGTTGGTGCTGCTACTGCTACTGCTATAGGTATTGTTATTGTTGTGGCTACTACTGGCTATTATGGAATTTAAGCAGTTTATTGTTGTGCGTTCTTGTTGTTGTTGCTGTTGTTGTTGTTGCTCTTGTTTAGGGTAAAGCAGCTACTTCTTACCCTTGGTAGCCTTTTCGGCGGCTTTTGTGACTTTGCCACCGGTAGCATCCTTGAAGTTAACACTCTTGATGACACCGACAGCAACAGTCTGCCTCATATCGCGTACAGCGAAACGTCCGAGCGGAGGGAATTCTTGGAACGATTCAACACATAAAGGTTTTGATGGCACCAAGTTGACAATGGCGGCATCACCAGACTTAATAAACTTCGGATCTGTTTCGGTGGTCTTGCCGGAACGGCGATCAACTTTTTCCTTAATTTCAGCGAACTTGCAAGCTATGTGGGCTGTGTGGCAATCCAATACGGGAGTGTAGCCATTAGCTATTTGGCCAGGATGATTCAAGACAATAACCTGAGCTGTAAAATCGGCAGCACCTTTAGGGGGATTGTTTTTAGAATCGCCAGCTACATACCCACGACGCAATTCCTTAACGGAAACGTTCTTAACATTGAAACCAACGTTATCGCCAGGAACAGCCTCAGGGAGGGCCTCGTGATGCATTTCAACCGATTTAACTTCAGTGGTGATGTTAGCGGGTGCAAATACTACTACGCATCCAGGCTTCAAAACACCAGTCTCGACACGACCGACGGGCACTGTGCCAATACCGCCGATTTTGTAAACATCCTGCAATGGCAAACGCAAAGGCTTCTCAGTAGGGCGGGAGGGTGGCAAGATTGCGTCCAAGGCATCGATGAGTGTTTTACCTTCGGCGTTGCCTTCCTTGCGTTCGATTTTCCATCCCTTGAACCACGACATATTACTGGATGGTTCCAACATGTTATCACCGTGCCAGCCGGAGATGGGTACAAATGCAACAGCAGCTGGGTTATAACCAATTTTCTTAATATAAGAAGAAACTTCTTTCTTGATTTCTTCATAACGTGCTTCACTGTATGGTGGCTCAGACGAGTCCATTTTGTTTACACCGACAATCAATTGCTTAACACCCAAAGTAAACGCCAACAACGCGTGCTCACGAGTCTGACCATTTTTCGAGATACCGGCCTCAAATTCACCGGTACCCGCAGCGACAATTAACACTGCGCAATCGGCTTGAGATGTGCCAGTAATCATGTTTTTGATGAAGTCTCTGTGACCAGGAGCGTCAATAATGGTCACATAGTATTTTGAAGTTTCGAATTTCCATAGAGCGATATCAATAGTGATACCACGCTCACGTTCAGCTTTCAATTTATCCAAAACCCAGGCATATTTAAATGAACCTTTGCCCATTTCTTGAGCTTCCTTCTCAAATTTCTCGATTGTACGTTTGTCGATACCACCACATTTGTATATCAAATGACCAGTAGTGGTAGATTTGCCAGAATCGACGTGGCCGATGACGACAATATTAATATGAGTTTTCTCCTTACCCATGACAGCAGAGTTTCACAATCTTTTTTTTTGTATGCGTGTGTGTATGTGTGTGTGCAATGTGTGTAAGGGCGGTAGAAAATTTTGCATGGCATAGGAGGTTTCACAAATTGAATAAACATCATTCAAAAACGACAAGCAGCACCAAATAGATGACGATGGGATGGGTGATGTTAACCAAATTTTTTGTACATAAATATGGAAAGGGAAGAAACAAATAAAATAAAGGGAAACAATTTTGTTAGCAACTTATAAAAGGGGTCAAAATAAATTATTGCATGTATGTCTAAATTATCTTTTTTTTCTTTCAAAGAAAATGTTTGATTGGGGACACTAACATATTTTGCATGCTTAACGTGAGTTTAGTACGCATAACCTCAAAAAAAGAAAAAGACAGAAAGCTCGGAAAAAAATTAACCACTAAAAACTCGAACAGGTTTGTCTGTGTATTGAAAAAAAAAAAAAAAAAAAAAAACAAATAAGAAATTGAAAGATTGCACATGTTCTTCGAATTGTTTCCAATCAAAAAGCAATTTTCTTTCGCACTTTCTACTTATCAGAATTTTTGGTATTTTTGTCCTCTTCACAAGAGGTTCAGTAGCAGAACTAGTCAAATTCATCATTGTGTAGAACAAGAAGCGAAGAATTGCATTGTAACTGGCCTACATGTATACGCGAACGCATTGAAATTTGGCAAAGTCGAAATGAGTAAGCACACAGAAATTTCCAGATATTGTGAAATATAAGAACTTTTATTGTACACCACACACACATACAAACCAACCATTTACGATCAATTTCTAGTCACAGATACATGCATAGCCACCAATTAACAGACAAAAATGAATGCCTTTTTATTTTCTATTTTTGCAGTAATAATTCTGCACAACTTAAATATTTGAAACATTGCCTTTAAAAATCGATTAACCAAAATTTTTGAACGCCGCAAAAGCGATGAACTCTAGAGGTAGCCATTTTGAAAAAAAAGAAGTAAACCGCAAGTGTGGCTTCGTGTACACAATTGAAGATGAAAATGTGGCATATTCACTTCTTCAACATGTCTCACCTATTGTTGCCAAGTGGCAATTTAGGTAGACACTTTAGCTTCAGATCTCTTATAAAAAATGTTCTTCAGAATTTTTCCCAAAGGCCACCAAACGGTAGACGCCATTTTGGTAATTGATACGCATATCTTTTTTTATTCAAACGCAGGCGAAACTTTTATTAAATGAAATTATACATAGAAAGAGAAAATATTGAAAACCGAGGTGTGGGGGTGTGGTTCTTATAATGATGCGCGAGTCTTTTTCTTTTTTTATTTATTGTTTTCAGTAGGCGTGCCATGCGTTTTCAAGTCGCTAATCCTACACATTATTCTTTGCCAATTCGAGAATCACCATATGATCACCAAACACCAATTTTTTTTTTTTTCAACTTTTGCCAAATTCAATAAACCGGCACAAAATTATTTACGCAAATAAAGATTTCGCTTTATTTTGTCTCTTGTTTACAACCGTTAAATTATAATTTTAATTCTTTTTAAACACAATTTCATGAAATTTAAATAACTTACATTTTTTTTTCTTATATAAAAATTTAATCGAAACACAGAAAATCACCAAAATCTATGCTAATCCGGCAAAAGACTTGAACAAAGTGAACGAGAAGCTTGCTGCAAGCAAACGACAGACCATCTTCATCGTCTCAGCCACGTTGATTACTCAACCAACTTCACATTTCCGTTCCATCAATATTTCATTGTTGGTATTAGTCGTCGTAGCAACTCTGGTAAAGAAATATGTTTCTTGCTTTAAAAGTAGCATCGTGTGTGATTGTGTTGCAAATTGTTATTTTTGTGCAAATTCATCATATTTATTTCCTATAGAAATGTAAATCATTATTTCCAGGAAATAATCAAAATATCTATCTATCTATCTGCAGAAACTGAGCGGAAAGTCTATACAGAAAAAATATATTCAATTAAATAAATAATTTATAGGAAAAGACTTCCTGTAATATCGAAGAGGTTTTATTTGTCTAAAGTGGATTTAATAAAAAGATGAATGACAAGAAGTCATTAATTGTAACCAAAACGGTTATTTTCAAAAAAGTAAATCAAAGTTCGAGGCAGGCAGAACAGGTAAAATGTTGGCATCACTGGCATCACAATATTCTAATATCAAACGAAAACGATCTGTACACCGAATTCTCTTTTAACATGGTGAATACGTACCCAAAAATATTGTTTTGAAAAATATACTGGCTTAATGGACAAATAGTAAAATGATTTCAGACCTAAAAAAGTTAAAAGATACCATAAATAACATTAATAAATTCTTGTGAGAGTCCACTTAGGAATTTATGTTGTGATTACACATTCGTGCTTAATTCAGTATACATATTTTACAAAAATAAATTATACCTTAAAAAACCAAACTAAATTGTGTAAAAACTATGTTATGTCTTTACTCTATGCATAATTCGCTGAATCCCACTCATCTACGCATATAATCGATATAATCTAACTGAAATGTGGCAAAGTGGCAATGAATATTTGTGAGAAGTGAGAATAGAAGCATCAAAAAAATTCATTAAAAAAATTCGCCAAACACATTCATAAAATATGGAAAGTCGTGCTTGGGCGGTTACGATGGGAACGACTTTGGCTATTGTTGTTTCGATTGAAATTACTAGGGCGGACATTGCGATTTTGGTTAGAATTTTGGTTATCATTCCTTCGGTTATTAATAACCTGTACATTATCAGAATTCCTAGAAATAGGGATAGAAGTATATAAATGCAGCGGTTCCGCAAAGGGGTCGAAAAGATAAATCGTTCCAAATATGGACCTCTAAATGGGGTAAAGGCTTTGTCACTCACAAAGCATGTGTTTATTTGTTAGGTTTATAATTGAAAATTGGAAGAGTACATTTTTCACGGTTCCACTAGTATGTTGAAATTACATGACCAATGCGAATTCTTGCAAAACTTCTGATCATGATTCATGATTGGTTGGATACAATGGCGGAACAAAACTACGATTGACATGGGAGTAAATATCAATTTTTTTTTGTTAATCTATCTTTCATCCCCCTTTAATTTTTTTTGTCAATATATTGTTGACAGTTAATCCCTTCCATTGTGCGTTCCATAATTAAAAATGTCGAAGACAAATATTTGGCTGCCAGATCTGCTCGCTCACGTCCCAACAGATTGAATTACTCAGTTTTTCAGAAATTTTAATTTTATCTCTGTAATTGGCAATACTGTTCCTTACTTTGTTAATAGTATTGCCACTGGAGTTTACGAGGTTCGGCCCTTATGATTGCCAGAACATCTGTGACGGTAACCATTTTTCGTTTGTTCTTCAGAATATGTGATTTCTGTCCGATTAGTTTTTCGAAAACCTGATTTAGTTTAAATATCACAGCAGACGATTTCTACAACCATGGCGGTTTGAACCCTAACTTTACAGAGATGTTTATGGGAATGTGTGTTTCTTTTGCAGCGCAGAAAGTTTATTGCGGATGATGATCCTTTCTTTTTTTCTGGCTATAATACTTTTTTTAAAGTCTACCGAATATTGAATTACTCGACTTTAGGTGTTTCGATATGACTTTTGGTTTTGGACTCATAAACTTTATTTTTGATATAGTTTTGCCAATAATTTTGTTGTTTGACTAAATGATCGATGCGTGAAGAAATATCGATAAAGTTTTCACCTACTGCCTTCTTTGTAACTCAGCCCGTGGATTCAAGAAACCAAAGTGACATGGACGTCATAATTTGTTTCAATGTTTTTCAGCGTATGATAAGATGAGAGTAGATAGATTGGGGGACGAGACACCGGAAAGTATATATAATGTAGTTATATCGTGTAATATAATAAACGCAGATATTGTTTCTTAGATTATAAAAGACCTTTATTGCTACTTTAAACCTTGCCCTGCTAATAATCATTTGGGTATATTACGGTAATGACTTTCACAACTTTGCAGCCTTAAGAAGGAGCTTTGATGATGTTAAGCACTTGTGGTCAAATATGGTTAAATTCATTGTCCCTTTAGATTTTGAAAACTGAATTTTCTTATGTGAATCCGCGATAGATAGGTGGTTGTTACAATTATGACAAAATGCAATTAAGACATCTACGAAGGTATTTAGTAAGATAGGCCGTAAAGTGGAGACGTGCGGAACAGAAGCTGCAACTTTTCTTAATTCTGACAAAAAATCATCAACAACTCCACGTTCATACCAATATTTCAAATAAAAACTAAATGAATCGCAGACGACCTGAAGTCAAAATAAAATTCAAGCTTTTGCAATTATAAATAATGATTAACAGTTTCAAAGGCCTTGGAGAAAGACGAATGGTCAACTCGCCCTCACCATATCTCGAACGAATATACTCCAAAACTTCGGGCACTGGCTTATCATGCAGTTGATTAGCCTATAGTAAATAAGTAAGTAAGTCAAATGTAAGCCAATCTGATCAGTTATCAAAAGTTCAGATACTTTTGATAGAGCCACAAATGTTTGGAAAGAACAGAGGAGGAGGCATTATATTACACAGATCCTGTAATTTGCTTTTAATTGAATAAAGTATCCAACAACGCGATTGAAATTCGCCTACTTTGTTTATTCGTTATTTCTCTTTCTATTTTTCATTTATTTAGACCACATTTCACCGAAGTGATTAGATGTGTCGCGTGCCACGACTAACGATCGATGGTAGGATTTTCATTGAAGTAATGAATCCTTAGTATTTTGCTATTTCTATTCCCCGTCACTACGTAATACATTGCGGTGTTCCTATTGATTGCTTTCCTAATTTGAGGATTCGTTTTTTTGTAGATTGAAAAATGTGTTTGGTCGGGATATCTTTCAGTAAGATGCGATAAGTCCATTTTGTTTTTCCTTAACAGGGTTAGCGTGTTGTACCACCAAGGAAGAGTTACATAATTGACATGACTGTTAGATTCTGAGGAGACGAAATTTGCATTGCACCAATGCATCAGTGCTGATGTACTTTTAATCACTATAACAGCCTCACCATTAAGGTTATTCTTAAAAACTTACTTACTGTGTGTGCCTCGATCTGTTTCGGATGTTTAACCCAATTTTAACACTCAAGTGAAAAAAAACTTTGCTGCGCAAAACCGCCGAGTAAAGTAATTTTGCATTTGAAAATGTTGGTTTGACATTACTGTCACACTTATATTAATTGATAAAAAAACGAACTTGATAAATAGATTTTGCTTAACTACCAGAACTACCAGTAACAAAATGTCTAATATTTCAGAGGACGGACGTCAAAAAATACCACGTATTATAACCTTCCGTCCTAGTTATGAAGAATTTAAAGACTTTTCAGGCTTCGTTGATTACATGGAATCGAGAGGAGCGCATCTCGCTGGCTTGGCGAAAATTATCCCTCCACCTGAATGGGTTCCTCGTAAATCTGGCTATGAGATAGATCAAATAAATATGACTATACCAGCTCCCATTTGCCAAATTGTTTCTGGGTGAGGCTTTTTTACTCTAACTCAAGCATAGAGGAAAAAAAACACTTTTTCTTTTAGAAAACAAGGCGAATATCAGCAAATTAACGTCACGCGTAGATCAATGACGTTACGTCAATTTAAGGAATTGGCCGAGTCGGAGCGTCATCAGACTCCTAAACATTTTGATTACGATGACTTAGAACGAAAATATTGGAAAAATGTTACGTACATATCCCCTTTATATGCAGCGGATGTCAAGGGTTCCTTGAGCGATCCTGATCTAGAAGTATGGAATATTGATAGATTAGATACAATACTTGACTATGTGAACAAAGATTACGGCATTGAAATCGATGGAGTGAATACCGCATATTTATATTTTGGTATGTGGAAAAGTTCTTTCGCTTGGCATACCGAGGACATGGATTTGTATTCAATTAATTATTTGCATTTCGGGGAACCGAAAACCTGGTATGCCATACCGCCTGCTTATGGACGGCGCTTGGAGAAATTAGTTGATCGTATTTTTCCTGAGAGCTATCATAATTGTGGTGCTCATCTACGTCACAAAATGACTTTGGTTAGCCCTCAGGTTTTAAAGCAAAACAAAATACCTTTTAATCGTATTACTCAAGAATGCAATGAAATAATGATTACGTTTCCTTATGGTTATCATGCTGGTTTCAATCATGGTTTCAATGGCGCCGAATCAACTAATTTTGCCTCGAAACGTTGGATTGAATATGGTAAGAGGGCTAGTATTTGCCGCTGCCGCAAAGATATGGTTAAGATATCGATGGAAACATTTGTCAAGCGTTTTCAGCCTGAGCGTTATGAAAACTGGCTAAGAGGTGTGGATTACGGCTCTCATCCTGAAGAGCCCAACAAGATATGCCCAGCGCCACCACCGACTCTGAATAAATACACAAGCCCAAAAAGGTATAATTTACATTGACTGCCAAAACGAGTAAGTCAGAAATTATCGATAAACATTACAGGAAGTCTTCAAATGATTCAGAAACTCCACCAGAGTCTGCTGGCAACAATAAGCTCACGCCATCCAATAACGTTTCCTGCCCCACTAATTGTTTGCAAAAACGTGGTTGCTCCGTGGCTATGCGTGATGAACAATCTGAAGTACCCCCTTCTATTACATGTACTACATTTAAAAAAATTCCAAGAGTTGTTTTACATAAAATTGATCGTCCTAATGCAGTTGCTGCCGCTGCTAAACATATGGATTTCAACTCAACTGCTGTTGTAAAACTAAAACGTGTATGGCAAGATCTACCATCTCCTACAACGGGCAATAACCTACTCACAAACGGTATTATAAAAAACACCAAACGGATGCGTTTCCAAACAAAAACTATTTTATTAGATGAGGACGAATAAGCGAAAAAAACACCCTACTGCCAATAAAGTAAGTTTGAAGATCTCAACCAAAATGCCTCATTCTCTTCCATCCTCTATTTTTCATTATTTTTCTCTTTTTTTTTGGAATGCTGCAATAACTAAGTACTTAGGTTAGCTTCTCTTCATTTATAAAAATTATGAAATTAATTTATTATTTATTTAAAAAAGCGACAAATGACAAATTGGTTTTTTCCGTAAATAAAATAAAAATATGTTACAGTTAAGTATTGTACAAAACGTAAAGAAAACTTTTTTTTTTAAGAAAGTCACATATACACCACAGCAAAATTGAGTTTTACAATAAGATAGTCGTTTGCAAAATTTTGAGTGTTTTGGTGAATGAATGTTACGAAAAGCGTCAACCATTATACATAAAAATTCCCTTTTTCTTATGATTTCATAGCCATCAAAAGATTCATTTCGATTTCGCTTCCTTGTTGCGATTGTAAGTGTGTTTACATAAGTAAATGCATAAGTATGCTATTTGTCCATCGGTCTCGCGCCTGTTTACCTATTTAATTTTATCTGCAACTACAAACTTTGAGATACTTTGACACTGAAATGCTTTAGCCCAAGGATGCATAATTTTGAAAGTGAATTGGCTTCTTACAACCATTCCCGATACAATATCTTATTTTGAAAACGTAGTTTTATGAAAAAAATTCCAATTTTTAAGATTGCTCTGAACAAGATCATCAAACATTTTGGCACGTTAAACTGATGTTAAAACAATTTAGATAGGTTCGCCAAATTTTCTTAATCGTCTTCCATACAACCGTTCGCATGAAAAACAAAATCTTAATGGGATGAAAATGAAGAAGATTAATCTACAGCAGTAATTTGGGAATTTGGATTAAACCGGTCTATTTGTGGAATCCCATGTCGTATAATTTATTTGCAATTGTAAGCCGAATGATTTTGTTGTTAGTTCGTCCGTCTTTCTGTCCGTTGGTGATATGAACAGTTTTGAACGCTATTTTCCAATTAACTGGATTTGTTTGCCTTCCGTTCAGCCCATTGCCAAATTTATCGCACGTTTTGCTATTTTAGGAAAGTTTCTGATATAGAGCTCTATTTTTATTCAGTTACTTGTTTTAAAGTTATGTCTTCAACTATATTTAAATTTAGATTATATTATTTATTTATATTTACATTTCTTCTTTTCAAAGATGTTTGGCGATTTTAATCGCAGATAAATTGTTGAATCAAGAACTGATGCTAAGCGCCTACACTTAACTCTGAAGATGCAGAATTTAATTGCAATTCATGCCTAATTTCAAGTTAAGAACGTAGAAAATTACACGAATTATACCCATCACGATGGTACTATGCCCTTTGAATATTGATTTAATGTAAGCTGTATTGCGCTTGCGTGCACGTACATTCAGGGAAACTGTTCTAAATAGATAAAAGACATTTATTCACCAATGAAGCCTTTAATCAGGATTACAGCGATCTCAGACGCTCGTCTTGGAGTTAGCTGCATACCGCACAACACACTACTCCGATTAGTTGTTTCTTTAACTTTACCGGCCGCCTTTTTATTAAACCATCAACAGCAGTCTTTCCTATCTTACAAGATAACCCGATTTTCAAATGGAACGCCCACAATTAAAGTTAAGCAAATAAACAAAAAGTTATAATTAAAATAAGTATTCTTTCTTAGAAAATTAAAACAAATTGGTAGCCACGGTCGCGTGGCATCTTTAAGCCGTTACGGAATAATCCGCTAGCAAATACTTTTGGATATCACCAAGAGCGGAATAATCCGACTTTTTGAAACACATGGTGGAGTTAGAGCGACGATAGAAATGGGTTAATTCGAGGAACTCTTAAGCCCTTAGGGCAGTGTGCGATGCAAATTTGACTCTATGGGCCTATCTTAAGTCCTTTTGAGTATTTTATATATTCGCACAAATTTAATATATCCTTAAAACAATGTATGGTGTATAAAGTGAGAAAAATGCATATCCCCTGATAGAAAATCTAGTTCTCGGAGTTCTAGTGTTAAATGTGTTGCGATTGAGCATTTGATGAACTCTGTAACTAAACGGGCAAAGGCTCCAATAAAAATCAAATATATTAAAAGAAATTTATTTTAATGTTTATTAGGATTAAAAAATAATTTAATTAGAATTTTTTTATATGAACGAATTTCTTAATACTTGCCAATTGCTTATTCCTTCCTTCTACCTTCAAATATCATATAGACTGCAAGTTGCTTTTACGTGAAAGCATTATTGCATGTGAGCGAAAGCATCTGTTCCACAATTCTCAAGAAAATATGGCCGATGGCAATGTCAATGCACGTGTACGAGTAATGTACGAGTAATGGCTGCCCTAAATGCAATTTTGAGGGTTCTTTGATTAGCGCCTGCATATACTGACTGACTTAATAATCCTAAATGGGAAAATGTTATTTTACGTAGAGAAAGATCAAAACCACCGAACTTAACCGACGTGTACATTGATCAGCTGATCCTTTCGCATAGTAGAACATAAATGGTGATCACTTAAATGCATGTATATAACACCGGAACGTGACTCATCCAAAAAACGCTTTATATGCCAAATGAAAATAAATGAAATTGTCCTTCATTAATAACATTTTCGCCAGAAATATTACTAAAA